TTGTGTAAAAGCTCCCCAGAAGATTTTGATGCCCTTCACATTCAAGAATCACTTTTTCAGTGGCTCCCCACTATCTACTGAATAAAGTTCCAGCTTTTAAGCTGAACATTCAGTTTTCCAGGATTTGACTCCAGGTTGCTTTCAAGTCTATTCTTCCACATTCTTCTTGATTTATATTACATGTGAGTTAGTTTCCTATACACACATTCCTCCCTAAAAAAATGGGGTGATGATACCTTCCTGATAATGATGCTTCGAGAATTACAAATAAGTTGCTCAAACATCGAGTGCAGTGGCTGGTGCTCAATATACAGCATTAATAGTAGGTCCTCAATAAATATCCATCAAAATGAATGAACAAACACTGGAGAAATCTGCTTCAAAAATGAATAAGTGAACCTTCTTGATTAAACAGAAGCCAGATGACCATGCATTAGGGAAGCGTCAGAGGATACCTGTGGTCTCTATACCTTTTCCAAACCCAACATGGTTTCTTTAGGTGAGACTTTTTGTGTTTTTTTTAATAGTCACCTTTCATACTTGGAACCTGCGGTGGGCAAGAGCAATGGGACAGGGAAGTTTGAAACACTGTAAAGGAATACTGGTTTTCCCAAGAGGCTGAAGTGATCTAAAGCGTATGGGCTCAGGACCGCTGTCTCCCCCACCCTTTGAATACCCTTCAATATGATCATTGGAATAGCTGTTGAATAGAGTCAGAGCAGAAGTTCACAGTGAAATAGCAGCCTGTCCTGGCATGGCTGGTGGAAGGGTGTACACGAGTCCAGTACTTCCCAAACCATGAAGTAGAGTACTGTGGGATGCCAGTAAGGGTCACAAACACTCATGAAGAGTCCCCTAACCAACAAGGACTGGGAAACACAAGGTGACACCTAGATAAAAACAAAATTAAAAACAAAGAATCTGTGTAATTCTCAGGGTCTTTAAAATGCAAATAATCACAAATCTCCTAGAGGGGGACAAAGAACACAGCATCTCTCAAATTTATTGAACCATGGTATTTTCTCATTTTCACTGTCTTAGGGACTAAGATTCTCAGAAACACGCATAGGAAAATGCTGACATGACGGGTTTGACAGGGCTTCTTAACCCTGACTGCATCGTAATTAGAAAAAAAAAAAAAAAAAAAACTTTTCTGGGCTTTGCCCCAGAATCACCAGGAGAAGGACCACTGCAACTCTAGGTTTTGAAAGGCCCTGCTGGAGGTTCTGTTGTGCGCCAGCGAGGACAACCACCGCATTATGTGAATGGCTTTTGGCTTCAGGAGGGCCTAGGTTCAAGGCCAGGTGCCACAGATAATCATATTATATTTGGAAAGTGACTTAATCTGGTTGTCTTGGTTTTCTCATACAAAAAATAGGGAATCATACCCACATGCTGGGATATTTTTAGGCCCAAAATAGTTAAATTAAATAATGAAGGAAAACAACTAGCTCGTAATAGGTGCTGTTTCCAATTTGTAATCCTCGGTTTCAGTACAAATAGAAATAGTAAAATTATTTGCTTTCTCAATCTTTTATTAGGCTCATATGCCAACAACTTTTGCCCTTCTCCAATAAGGATGAAATAATTGTGGATTCTTATGTCTGCGGTATGCCTGTGTCACAGTGACCTTTACTGTACTTCAGCAATGTTCTGAAAGATAGTGTCAGACCATTAACACTAATGGTTATGAAGTTTTTTTTGGCAATCGCACCCTGTGTCTTCTGGGAAAAGTGTCCCTATCTTTCAAAAACTGCATACAATCTCCATTTTCCAAGAGATCATATAAGTTAGCCCAAGAAACTGAAATCTGGTTCAGAGCATAAACGAAATGATGTCATCAGGGGCTTGCACGGTACGCCGTGCACAGCAGCTGTCCACAGTCTTCTGTTGAGGCATTCTCCAAAATATAAACTTCAAAGGTGTTTCTATTTCTATAAGGGCAGATGTAACGGGACTTTTACAGGCATTCTAACATTTGGTGTCTTCACGCTCTCTTTCCTTTTTAGTAATCCCTTTGGTGTCTTGTTTCATTAAATAGATTTTTGAAATTTAGGGCTGTGAGTGTGCACGTGTGAGTGCGTCCATGCGTGTGTGCATGTGTGTGTGTGTGTGTGTGTGTGTGTGTGTGTGTGATGACAGCTACCCTCCAGGGAGAAATGTATGTGTGAATTTGACGCTGGCTTAGAGAAGTGGCTTTGTGTATGAATGAAATGGTAGAGATAATTCCAGTCTTATACATGACTGCTATTCTAAAGTTCATTTGTAAGTCAGTAGTTTGGAACTTGGAACCCATTTTCTCATAGAGAAATAAATGTTCTACAGGATGGATAGAGTCCAGCCCACAAGAGCCTGTTTAACTCCTACTGCACCTGAAGCAGAATTGTTATTAACTCTAGAGAACAATGTTTCCATGGCAACACGTTTTCAGAGTTCTACTGTTTAAGGGTGAGAACCACCAACTATAAAATTTTAACTAGTCTCCTAAATCATTTCCCCCTTATTCCTTTAATACATTACCAAGAAGAGGAGCTATTCATACCATGGACTATTTCTTGAATATATTAAGTTAAAATAATATTTTTTCTCTGCTTGTTTTATGCACTTTGAAACTTTAGTAAAAGGGATACACAGAACAAAGAAAAGAGTTTCTCTAAACATTGCTGGACTACTTCAAGCATGGCCCCTTGTCATATCATTTCCTGGCTACTGTCCCTGCAGGCCAGAGCAAATGAGGGGCTGCAGAGTGGTGATGGTCACTGTCGTTACATTTGTTTTTACATCAAAATTGTGTGTTTGTTTTTCTACCTTATCTACCTTTGCCTTAGGTTTATAAACTTGCTTTATAATTTAATAGGAATCTGTAATAACTAAGTAATGATATATATTCTCGGTCACACTGACCACAGGAATCAGATGTTTCGACTACACAATACACAGATGATGCTAGAAGTTGTATAAATATATCACAGAATCACACGACTGGAAAGAACCTTAAAAGATTGTCTAGTCTGTTCTCTGGCTTCCAGACAAGCCAACCATTCCAAACAGATGAGAACTAACCTATATTTTACAGGACAAGGAAGACTTTGTTTTTAACCCTTTCCAGATCTAACAATCTATACACTGTTAGTAAATTATTGTTAATTTTTAATCTAAATTATTCCATTCACAGTTACAATTGTATTTTACTTTGTTTGTTTTTAACCCTTTCCAGATCTAACAATCTATACACTGTTAATAAATTATTGTTAATTTTTAATCTAAATTATTCCATTCACAGTTACAATTGTATTTTACTTTCTCATGTTTGCTCCTCATAGGAAACAAAGTAGGTTTATTAATGTGAAATCCCACAGCATAATTAAATATTATGTTTTTTGTTCTCTCTTCTAGGACAATGCTGAACATCCCAATGTCTAATCCTGTAGTTATCTCTGTCCTGCTCTCTCCGGGCTGTTCACACCGTGTCTTCAGCAGTAGGAACTAAAATCTAGTTTCATCTGAGAGCTGAGCATAGTTTCCACACATAGGAATATTTAAATATAATCTGAAAAGCAGGCACTAAGACTTAGACTCAAAGCAAAACCAAATTTAATAATTATAATAAAATTATGTTAACACAGGCAACTTATTTGTAGTTATTTTCTTTCAGGTGGTTAAAAGGGCATAACCCGTCCAATCATATTAGCTTTTCCCTCAAGCAAGGAAATCAAAGAGAATCGACCCCTATTAAACAAAGTTATGCATAAAAGGTGATATCATTAAATGTCACCAAATATAATTTTTTCTTTGGAGAGGCTACTATTAAACTGTAACCTCAAAATATTTTTTGCTGATTGATGATGACTATTAATTATGGGTACTGGTAATGACTATTTAAACTTGATACTTAGAGATTCTTTAATGGAAGTTTTCAAAGGAAATGGCATTTTGATCTTTATATTATGGAAGACACTAAACAAAACTGGCTTTAGGACAAGTACTGTTGGCTGTATTACTGTCTTAACAGTCCCAGTTTCCCTCAAGATGGAAGAGAAAGATGGGATTAGCAAATTAGGAATGAGATTCACTCTGGAGGTTCTGAATGTCTCAAAGGTGAGGATTATGTCCAAAAGAAATGAAACTGGGTGGAAATTTTCATAATTATGATCTCAATCTGATAGTAAGCCACGTGCCTTGTTAATTCCCCCACTGCACCACTCACTGGGTGGCTGCTCACCCCAAGTAGCTAAGAGGACAGAAGCAACGTTTGGAGACCAGGCTGAGAAACTTGCCCCTGTAAAATGACCATGAGAACACTATGTCTAACTTTTCTACATTAGTGAAGCACCTCCAGGGAGACTATCGTCCCTACCTCTGTGCAGGTTTACAAAGGGCAGCACTCCTTCCTACCTTGCCACCAGCATGTCCACTGTATGGCTCTGCTATCTTAGGGCAATATTGATCCTGAGAAAGGGGTAATTTTTTTTTTAACCACTGAATACTCCAGATGGTGCTCTTGAAGCCTCATATCCTCTGAGCTTACCATAGCAGGAAGCTCACATCCCCCATCAATCAATTGTATTCCTGGCCCAAAGAGGGTTTTCTCTTTACCATAGCCATAAAGATTTAGGACACTGGTGCAAAAACGCAGAAGAAGAAACATTAAAAGAAAATTGTCTCATTTTGGCTGTGAAGATATCAGCATTATTTACAGTTCAGAGGTATGACTCTCTGAGATGTCCGTATCGCTAATTTTACCTAAATAGACAATGACAAGTGTACACTGTCCTCCATCCGTCTTAATAAAAGTATCCTTTCAGGGGTAATTCATGGTTTACAGAATTCCTGCAGAACCCTGACTTAAATTTCCTTCCACACTCTGGCAGAAATACGGCATGAAATTGAAACTCTGGTATGCATTTGCAGGAACCTGAAGGATGTCCTATAAGGTACCCAGTAATTACACCAGTGAGTTGAAGCAAAATACAACTTAATGATGGGCAAAGTCCACTTACTTGCTCATTTTTAGTAAGCCGGGTTTTGTTGTGAATGTCTGATGTGACCAAATTGAATCCGTGTTTCTCTGACAAGATTCTCAGGAGCAAGACCACAGTGCGACTCCCACACTTGCCTACTCTGTTGTACACCACCTGGCTCGGGAAAGGTAGTACCTGCCGGAAGAACGAGAGAGCAACCGTGAAACGCCTGTACCGAAATACTTACCATTCTCCCCTCAATTTCAGACGATACATGTTTGATAAATCTAAATGAGAAAAACATATACCAGGTTAATGAGAGAACAGAAGTGAAGAACTATTATTTATCTTCAAAGTATAACCAGACAGAAATGCTGTTCGTGCTCTCTCTCCATCCGTACTGGTACCAAAGACTGGTAAAATTTCACGCAGTGGACAAGATTAATTACCAAGCTTCTTTTGTTTCTTCTTAGGAATGAAATATATAAATGCATGCTTTAATGATAATATTTTTTGCAAGTTATTTTTTTATGAGGACAACTTAATTTGTCAAGTTATCAAGAAAAAAATGGTAATTTAAAAAATTGAGATATGATTCACATACTATAAAATCCACTCTTTTAAAATATATAATTCAGTGGTTTTTAGTATATCCACAAAGTTTGCAATGATCACCACTACCTAATTCCAGAATGTTTTCATCACCCCCAAAAGAAATCTCGTACCCTTTCCATTTCTGCCACTACTTCCAGCCACTGGAAAACATTTATCCACTTTCTGTCTCTAGGGTTTTGTCTATAGGATTCTGGACATTTCATGCGAATGGAATCATAAAATATGTGAACTTCCGTGCCTGGCTTCTTTTACGCAGCATAATGTATTTCCAGGTTCAGCCACGTTGTAGTATGAATCAATACTTCATTCTTTTATATATCACATTGTACGGATATACAGTATTTTGTTTATACATTCACCAATTGATGCACATTTGAATGGAATCATAAAATATGTGAACTTCCGTGCCTGGCTTCTTTTACGCAGCATAATGTATTTCCAGGTTCAGCCACGTTGTCGTATGAATCAATACTTCATTCTTTCATATATCACATTGTACGGATATACAGTATTTTGTTTATACATTCACCAATTGATGCACATTTGGGTTGTTTCCACTTTTTGGCTACTGTGAATGATTCTGTTATGGACATTTGTGTAGAAGTTTTTGTGTGGACATGTGTTTCCAATTCTCTGGGGTATGTAATAGTCCCCCCTTATTTAAGGGGGATACATTCCAAACCCCAAGTGGATGCCTAAAACTGGGGATAGTACCAAACCCTATATATGAGTATACTATGTTTTTTCCTATAATAAAATTTAACTTATAAATTAGGCACAGTAAGAAATTAATAATAACTAATAAAAACAACAATGATAACAATATATAATTGTAATAATATACCAATAAAAAGTTATGTAAACGTGATCTCTCAACATACCATAATATATACAGACCTCAGTTGACCACAGGTAACTGAAACCATGGAGAGTGAAACTGAGTATAAGGGGACAACTGTATATCTAGGAGTGGAATTGCTGAATTGTATGGTGTATACAAACCTCAGTTGACCACAGGTAACTGAAACCATGGAAAGTGAAACTGAGTATAAGGGGACAACTGTATATCTAGGAGTGGAATTGCTGAATTGTATGGTAACCTTATGTTTAATTTTTGAAGAACTGCCAAACTTTTCAATACAGCTGCACTGTTTTATATTTCCACCAGCAATGTGTAAGGATTCCAATATCTCCACATCCTTGCCAACACGTTACTGCCTTTTTTAAAAATTATAGCCATCCTAATGGGTGTGAAACGGTATCTCATTGTGTTTTAATTTGCATTTCCCCTATGACTAATAATATTCAGCATTTTTTCATGTGCTTATTGGCCATTTGTATATTTTCTTTGAAGAAATGTTTATACAAATCATTTGCCTATTTTAAAATTGTCTTTTTACTGTTGAGTTTTAAGAGTTCTGTATACAGATGTTCCTTGACTTACGATGCAGTTATGTCTCAATAAACCCATACTGTTGAAAATACTGTAAGTCAAAAATGCATTTAATACACCTAACCTACTGAACATCATAGCTTACTTAGCCTAGCCTACCTTAAATATGCTCAGAACACTTACATTAGCCTAAAGTTGAGCAAAAACACATACCACAAAGCCTATTTTATAATAGCATTTTGAATATCTCTTGTAATTTATTGAATGCTGTACATTACGTCAAAATCATGATGGTTTCACACCATGGTATAGTTGAAAAATTGTCGAGTTGAACCATCATAAGTCATGGGAATGTCTGTATATTATGGATTTGCGAATACATGATTTGCAAATATTTTCTCCCATTATGTGAGTTGTCTTTCCACTTTGTTGTATCCTTTGAATCACAAAAGTTTTTAATTTTGACAAAGACCAACTTATCTAATTTTTTTTAGTTCTTTTTGCTTTTGATGTTATAGCTAAGAAATTATTGTTTAATCCAAGATTATGAAGATATACACCTATGTTTTCACCTAAGTGTTTTATAGCTTTAGATTTTTGATCCATTTTTAGTTAATTTTGTGTATGGTGTGAGCTAGATGTCTAACTTCATTCTCTTCCATGTAGATATCCAAATGCCCCAGCACTATTTGTTGAAAAGACTATTCTTTCTCCAATTTATTGTCTGGCACCCTTGTCAAAAATGTACGGGTTTATTTCTGGACTTCCAATTCTATTTCATTGATCTATATGTTTATCCTTATGCCAGCATCATACAGTCTTGATTATTATAGCTTTGTTATAAGTTCTGAAATTGGGAAGGATGAGTTCTCCCAACTTTGTCCTTTTTCAAGATTGCTCTGGCTATTCTGAGTCCCTTGCATTTGCTTATGAATTTTAGGATCAGCTTGCCAATACCTTGCAAAAAAGGCAGTTGAGATTTTTTTTATAAGGATTGCATTAAATCTGTAGATCAACTTGGAGACTACTGTCACCTTAACAATATTAAGTCTTTCAATCCATGACCATGGGATGTCTTTCTACTTCTTTAGTTCTCCTTTGATTTTTTCATCAATGTGTTGTAGTTTTCAGTATACAAGCCTTATACTCCTTTTGTTGAATTTATTCTTTTTGATGCCATTACAAATGGAATTGTTTTCTTAATTTCAATTTGGACTGATTGTTAACTGACAGAAATACAACTGACTTTTCTATATTGTTCTTATATTCTGAAGTCTTGCTGAACTCATTTATTAGCTCTAATAGTTTTTTGTGTAGATTCTTTAGGATTTTCTATATACAAGATCATGTCATCTGCAAACAGAGATAGTTTTACTTCCTTTCCAATATGGATGCCTATTATTTCTTCTTCTTTTCTAATTGCTCAGTGACAATGATTTTGATATACTGAGAAGCTACTGTGAAAAGCATCTATGATTAAATATTTATATCCCCAATAAAGATATTATTTTCACTTTGAATGCTCAGCAGTGACCAACTGACAAATGATAATCAAAGGAATCCTTCACTCAGCACATAGCCATAACAGAAGGTCATAAAAAGGCACAAAGCTAAAGAATACAATGTACTATAAAAACATAAATATACCCCAAACTTGCCTATAGTATGCCATTTGAATTTTTGCCTTTTTAATTATAGATTAACTTATTTTCCTGAAATATCTCATGTGCAGAGTAGCATTCATAAGTTTGGAGCTTAAAGGCTAATTGTCTTTGCAGTAAGATATCTATACCAATCACTGGACATGTACCATTTTTATATAATCCTTCCATATATTTTTGTTATGAGCAATATTTTGTTTTTTTAGGGCCAGTGAGTATCCTCTATTATGAGTCCTCACAGTGCCTTGAATGTGCTTTGTATATAAAGGGCCTTGAAAGACTGATTCTTGGCTGCCGTAAGGAATTTAAGGTGCTGTTTAACATTCATTAACACAATGATTCTGCTAAAATGTGAAACCAAGAGAATCTCCAAATATAGCTCACCCTTCTGACCAAATGCTAACAAAAGTCATCGACATAAAAAGATAGTTGTTATAACAGGTCATTTTTACTTATGATTTAGTTAGTGAGTTCCCCAGAAGTCTGTTCTCTGGCAACTACTGTAGAAGTTCAGATATTCAGAGAAATCAATTATGTTTTTAGGTATAAGGTTATGGCCCAGGACGGTTGAACTAGGCTTCATGTTTAATGTAATGATATGAATAGCATTTATAAGTTGGTCTGTTCTCTGGCAACTACTGTAGAAGTTCAGATATTCAGAGAAATCAATTATGTTTTTAGGTATAAGGTTATGGCCAGGACGGTTGAACTAGGCTTCATGTTTAATGTAATGATATGAATAGCATTTATAAGTTGGACTATCCATAATAACCAGCTGGGGTATAAACTATTGTTGTGACAAGCTGCCAACATAAACACAAAGTTTAATTTCTCCATAGACATAAACTGTTCAGTACTAATGGGTACAAAACCAAGCTATCTACCCTACGTAAATCATTGTGCAGTATATGCATGTATTGAAACAACATAGTGTACCCCACAAATATGCACAAATGTTAAAAATATTTTTTTAAAAAGAAATAAACTGTTCAACAATTGGAATGGATGTATTTTTTTTCCTGTCTTGTTGCACAACACAACGGGAAGGGAGAATTTGTTACACATGTGAGTTACTACATAGGTAAGTGCTTTATTTCAAAAGAGCAGGTACATATTAGACGATTTCAATGAAGTACTGATGCACTTACCTAGAAAACTTAGCTGAAATCACTTAATTTCTCCTGAATTGCTGGTAGAAGGCTTAGTATCTATTTCATACTTTTCACTAATAATCAAAGATGCTATTTACCTTTAGGTTATTGGTTGATTCATTTTTAAAAAGATGTGAATTTGAAATTTTTATTGGTCTTGTGGGAAGCTCCCAACGAATGGTTATAAATATTCGTTATTTTAAAAGAACACTTGTATAAGTATGAAAATCCCTGCATCATTCCTGCAGTTGTATCTACAATAATAATTGAAAAGAGAGTGTAACATCCCTGCTGCAACTCCATTTCTGTTATTTCTCTAAACACTAATATGTACCTATATGATATGAAGAGACAGCTAGGAAACGTTTTCAAATA